ACTGAGTAAGTAGAACTTGATTTATCATATTGAGTTTCTGTGATTTTATTTTGCTTTATGACATAGCCACATAGCCCTTATTTATGATCACCTGTGAGATATGGGTTATCTGCAAGGTACATTCTGAGCTCAGTGATTGAATTAATTGATTTCAAATAATTAGTTTAATTAGCTTCTCACTGCCAACTGTTCAGAACATTTGTGCTAAGTATGTTCACAATTTTTTTTATACCTCCAATTTTTTTGGGAGTTTTTTTTTTTAAAGCAAACAAATGCTGCACGGCAGCCTGCAGATCCAACAGCAGTTGCCAGAAATGGCTGGTCAGGGCTAACTGGTTTTTACAAATTCTAAGATATTCTGACTCAGTGGCTGTGTTTATGGCAACTGAGCACACCCAGGCTGCTCGTCTAAGGCCTTGGATCCAGTCATCATGACCTCAGCAAATGGCATTGGTGCGGATAAGCCAGGCCTCTGTCAGTAAATGATCTGTTCCAGATGTGTGGCCCTGAGTATGGGAGGAAGGGAGGGAGGGAGGGACAGAGGGGGAGAAGACTTCTCCTTGTTCAGTGAATGTACAGAGCTTAGGGAGATGAAGGTGGGCTGATAATGTTGGTGGGTGGTTTTGAGTCATACATGGAAAAGAAAGGGCAAGGAGCTTACAAAAATCAACCTTGGATACAGCTGCTCTGCCTGGTTTCAATAGGCAGCATTCTATTTTGCTTGGTTCTCTCTTGGATTTGGTCCAAAACCTGCATGATGTGATACATCCATTTAAAGAGGCCCAAGCTGGGAAAACAGCACTAAGCTAAGAGCATGTATGCTACCGTCTAAAGAACTGCACCCAGCTTTGGAGTTTTGTCTCTGTAATAGGTCTGCGGAGTGGTTTGTGGGTTCAGTTCTATTAAATTATCATATTTGGATGACTTAGAGGCAACTGCAATTAAGGCTTCCCAGTAAACTACTGTAGTTTAAGACTGCGAAGTATGGTAGCTCTAGAAGGTGATGAACTAGTTAAACATTAAATTAGAGGCTAGGTTGACTGAAGCAAAGAGCAACATTTGAAACAAATATTCCAAACTCTGCCCTCTGAAACAAAATGACTGAATACATTTACCAATAAAAGATGTTAACTTGCTCTTCTCTAGAAACTATTTTAGGAGAAAGCATTCAGTTCTGTATGGAGTCCTTGGATCTTTGGGATATGTGGTAGAGGGCTAAAGCCAGGAAAACATTTTTTAAAATCCCAAAGAAGCTTCTACAGCAGTGGTTCTCAACCTGTGGGTCGGGACCCCATTTGGGGTCGAACGACCATTTCACAGGGGTCGCGAAACAACGCAGTCCATCATTTCCCCCCCTTTTCCTTAGCTGTGCTACTCCCTTTTATTCTATTGGCTTTTGAAAGCCAATAGAATAGACTCTCTTGAATAGAATCTATTTCTATTGGCTTTCAAAAGCCAATAGGAATTGTCCAGGCTGTCTCTGCTCTGTTGAGCCCGCCAAAAGTCCCATTCTGCAAACGGTGCTGCACCAGTTGAGTAGTCCTCAACTTACGACCGGTTGGGGGGTCGCGGCATTAAAAAGGTTGAGAACCACTGTTCTACAGTATGGACTTTATTCAAAACTAATATCTATAATATGAAAATCGCTTTAGAAAAATATCATCGTCTTCATGATATATCCATGAGGAAGTTAAAGGTGAAAGTAAGCAAGGCTCAGGAGTGATATCCAAGCCAGGAGTCTTTTAGACAATATAATCTACCTAGTGAATACAGAAAAAACAGAAGTGGAAGCAGCCATTATAGTCCATATAATCTGACTCCCTGTTCATTGCAAGAATCACAGTTCAAGCAACCATAGCTGTTGGTTCTCCAGCATCTGCTTGAACTCATGTGACCAAAGGAACTCAATCTTCTCCCTCAATCACTGGTTGTTAACTGGTTATAAACACACTTGCTTACAGAACTGGTTTTCTATAGAGTATTATTAATCATTCTCACAAATATATAATATTTGAAGATACTTCTTTAATATTAGGCCTTCTCTCAAGTGAGCATAACTCCCTGAAACAGAATCTTCGGGGCTTATTTTCCATGGATGCCCACTAACATGAGTAACTTGTGACTTTAAACATTGAATATTTATAAAAGCAAAAGAACTTTAAACTTTTAGTAAGGAAATGCTAATTTCAAAGTAAATTTTGCTTATTGCAGTATTATTCTGGAGAGGGACAGTGGGGAGTTTGCTGAGTCTGTTATGATAGGACAGGGGTCTTCAAACTTGGCCCTTTTATGACTTGTGGACTTCAACTCCCAGAATTCCTTAGCCAGACTGAGAGATGAAAGTAGGCTGATATGGGAATATCTGGCCATTGGTATTAGAGTCTAGGCCCAATACATTCTGGAAAACTGGTGGTGTCTTTTTCTCCTCCAGATACATAGCATTAAGTGGTGGTAGAATTCTGTGATGGGTGGCTGGTTGACAGAGTCCAAATAAGAGCCATCTAAGAAAAGGATCATGATGGTGGCAAATAGCCCTCTAATTAGGGGATATTTCTGGGTTACAGATTTCATGGTTGAGCCAGACCTGCAAAGGAGTTAGATAAATTATTTTATCAGGCAACAGGGCCTAAGTCTTGAAGCAGATACAACATGACTTGGATTAATTCTGATAGCTGCTTAAGGGTGGAGGAATGCCCAGATGGGTGGAGATGTTGTTCAAATTATTGGAATGTTATCTTGACATGCAGCCTTGTTGTATCAAAATGGGAAGATCATGTGTTTTGTTGGAGTCAACAGCTAATGATATCCAGGATTCAGGGTGAAAAAAATCATTAAAAAAAGTCAGAAGATAGCCAAAAAATTGTCATTAGTCTTGATCAAACTATCACCTTATAAAGACTGTTCACTCTCCCAATATGAAATAAAACTGAAAATCATGGTAGTTGAAGCCCAGCATTATTTGGAAAAAACTGTAATGGAATAGATGGTTTATGTATATCCAATGTTAATTAAAAAAGAAATTATTTGTCAATTAGTCATTGTTCTGTATGTGATGTTTTATAGTGAAAGTGAATAAAGTTTTGAACACTCAAAACAGGTGTTCTTGATTAAGGTCTGCTTGGCTATCTCTGGAAGAATGATTTTTTAAAAATCATGTGTTTTTATGTTAGTGACTCTCTCTATCTCAATCTCATGCATTTGTATGTGGGCACATACACACAAGCGCTCATACACACATATTGATTTCCAAGTATCTATTTAAAGGAGCTCTGTCAAAAAATATAAGGAAAATCCTCTGTCAAGTTAATCTTAGAGAATTGTTCCTAGTTGGCACAGATTTTGTCAGGCTGCAGAAACCAATAGGACCTGGGACCAGGTAAGTTCATATGTCAAAGTTGCCCCAGAGAAAAATACTATGGAATAGTATATGCCAAGACATATTATCAAACACAGAATTAAGATTCCCATGATTTATATCTGCTTTTGCTCACCACTACCACCCCCAAAGTTCATTAAGGCAGTTCTGCCTTTTAACCATAGGAAATGGCATTAGCTTTACAGGAATAAAATGTAATCAACTGATGTTGTTTTCATGATAAATTTGTTATTGGAAATAAGGATCATTTTGTAGAAGATGATTTCTTTTTTAAAAAAAATAAAACTAATGAAATACAGTCTATGTGGAATAGACAGCATCATACACACGAAATGGATTCTTAACTGGCTAACCAATTACACACAGCTTGTAGCCCTTGGTAGAACTACATCTACATGGAGGGAAGTAAGCAGTGAAGTACCCCAAGATTCTGTCTTCTGTTTTCAAAATTTTCACAAATGATTTAGACAAGGGGATAAAAGGAACTCATCAAATTTGAAGATGATACCAAGCTGGGGAGAATAGCCAACACTTTAGGAGATAAGCTCAAGATCCAAAAGGATCTTGACAGACTTGAACCCTAGGCACTATCCAACAAAATGCAGTTCAGTGGTGAGAAAAGTAAGGTCTCACACTTAGGCACCCTCATCGCCACCGCTGCTCTGCCGCTGCTAGCATTACTGCCTGTCCACGGAGCCAGAAAGGTTGGGGATGACTGTCTTATAGACAGCCAATTAAATATGAGCCAGCAAAGTGTTGCAACTGCCAAAAAAGCCAATGCATCTTAGGATGCATCAACAGAAGGATAAAATCAAGACAGTGGTGGGATTCAAATATATGAACAACCAGTTCTCTATGTGGATGCCACTCCCGGAAGTCCATTCTGGGCCTGGGCAACAAAAAATTAACTACCAGTTCTGCAGAACTGGTGCGAACTGGCTGAATCCCACTACTGAATCAAGATAATGTGAAGTGTTCATACTTTATATGTTCTGGTAAGTCCACACTTGGAATACTGCATCCAATTTCAATCACCATGATACAAAAAAGATGTTGGGATGTTTTGCTGTTCTGAAATTATTTATTTTATTGATTAAATTTATATGTCACTCATAAAGGGTCTTGGGGCCTGAAATCATTCAGTAAGTCATTATACCAGTGAGCATTTCACCATACTGCTACGTATTTATGCCAAAATACATAAATGGCTACATATAGCATCTTTCTCCCTCCCTCCATCAGTTGTTCTCTTCCTCACTCTCCCCTCCTGGTCAGGATCTAGTCCCTTTTTCTTGCTCTTAATGTTTAAGGTTGAAACACATTTTTGCAGTTTTTCTTCGTGGCATCTTTTTATTCTTGCTAATACATAAGTTAGTTAAGCAGTGCAGATGTTAACACTGCCTTAGGGCTGTCTGTCCTGGTCCGGTTTTGCGCAGGGAGAGAGGCAGTGTCTGCTTCCAACTGCTTGACGTTCCCTGCTCTTCCCTCTGCCCTGACTGCCCATTTGGAGCTTTCGCTTGGATTTCACAACCAAGTTGACTGAGTGAATAAAAAATTGCCAAGTTGAGGCACTCTGGGCCTTGTAAAGCTGCAGGGCTGTGAACGGCACTCTGTTGCTGGCAGGCAGGGTGACCTGAGGTGGCCGTCCCAGGGTTGCAGAGGTTCTAGTAACTCTGAATGGGTGGGGAACTGGGAAGGAGAAGTTAGTCTCACTGAAGCAAAGCCCCCGGGAGCCGGGCTTGCTCCTGGATCTCATTTTTCACATGTCTCCTGCACTCTCACTACTAGCCCTGTAAGAGGAAAGGAGGTGCTTCCTGTTATTCTGATTCAAATCTCAAGCTGGTCACAGGAGAGAAGCAGACTGTCTATGCTTCAGAGTGGCAGGCTGTACAAGATGGATGGACGAGCTCTGCTCTTGAAACTAGTTTTGCTGGTTTCCACAGGTAAGTGGTTCTCCAGATATGGCACAGGATGCTTGGGGCAGTGTGGCACTGGACAGCCCATAGTAGGTTTGGTCTCTAGACTGGCAAAGACAATGAGGGCCCACATCCAGACAGTTCATCTTGGACAGCTTGGAATGACATTTTAGGGAATGCCGAGGGGATAGTTGGATTAGGAATCCAATGCTCAGATCTTTCTGTGATCCTGCTTCTTACCTGAATGAGCCACATATCATAGGACTAGCCCTGCCTTCTGCTCTCTGCATGTGCCCCACCCAATTTATTTACTTATTCCTCCATTATTTTCCCTGATCCCACATCACCAGTATTTTTTTTAACTGCTTCAAAGAACAATGAGGGTATTTTACAGGTATAAGATCCTAAGGATTGAGATGACCTCTTGTCCCTCCCTCCAGTTTTGCTTATACTCCCCCATCCTTCCACAGGAAGAATGCCAGCCTTTGACAGAGCAAGCTGCTCTGTATCCAAGTTGTATTAAGACTTTGGCAGAATTTGTGAAGCCACTTGCATTCTGATCCTGGCTAAAATGGAAATAAATCAGACTGTCTTGTGAAATACTTGTATCTCTTTTTTCTTCTTTTCTTTTTGCTTGCAATGATTTCAGAAAAGAAATGAAAGAAATCGATAGCTTGCTTTAGTGTAGCATTCCATGTATGGAGGCATCTTTTTTTACTTTCCTGCTAAAAATGGTTTGACCTTGTGCAGGAAATGCACTTTCCTACCATCCTGGTGCATTTACTGATTCTCCTAATTGTTTTCAGAGATCAACCTATGGGATCCATAGTAGAGTTTGTCAAAAGTAGATGTCAGATGTATTTTGCTTATAGAACTGATATGTTCAGAATAGCACAAAGAAGTAATGCAAATGATACTCTTCAAGGAGAATAGCTTTGCTCCAAACAAATAAGAACATATCTTCAAAGTTTCAAATCTGACAACTGCTATACATTACTGTGGGGAGAATGCATTCACTGAAAAACAGCAAATAAATACATTTTATAGATTTATACAGAACCACTTAACACAAGATTTTGCTATTCGATGTGGGGGCAAAAATCAGTGGTTTAAGTAATATAGAACAAAGCAAACTATTTTGATCCACAAAATAGTTCTCAAACAGAGTTAGGTACATCTTTATTACAAAGTTCTCAAACAGAGTTAGGTACATCTTTATTACAACCAATATGTCCAAAATCATAACAAATAAGTTCAATGTTTTGAAATGTATGTTAAGGACAATGTTGTCTGGGGCTTAAAAAAGAGTGGAGAAAGGCATACAACATCTAGAATGCTGGTTACATCTTATCTTTTTTGGGGAAAAACCCCATAATTTTTGAAAATCTACTTGGTATAATATAATTTATTTGATTCTGCATCTCCTTCTCTACTTTACTATATAACTACAACAATGCATACCTGAAAGGATCAGTATTAAATGTGCTTTTTGACCCACTTTCCTTTCCCCTCTTTTTATGGCATCTTGATTAATTAAGGGTACAGTCTTGGAAAACTGGATATAATTGTGCCTATGTTAAGCTATTTTAATGAAGATATTGATTGAGGATTTGGAGTTAAAATCATACAATGACATCCAACAACAAAGGCAAATTAAGGTAAAGGCTATCTCAAGTAGAAAAGAGAGGAGAAACGATGATTAGTGTTTTCTCTGGGATGGGATTCTGCTCCCCATTTTTACCCAAACCAAAAATTCCAAACTTGTTTGTGAGTTTGGAACTCATAAACTTGAATTTGAATTTTAATAAGATTTTCTGCACCCTCCCCCAATAATGGTTTCAGTAAGTCTGGACAGCTCTTTAATTCTAATTTTCTCATAGCTAGAATTTTTCCTGAGGTTATTTTTACATCCTCTCCATTTTCTCTCAATTGTAGTGGTTATTACACTTCATGCTTATTCTGGGACAACAGTATCTCCCCAAAGTGCTACCTTCTCTTTCAAAAGTCTAAATCGTACACTTCAGGAAATTAAAGGTAAGGTAAAAATGAAATGGGGTGAGTTGATACTAAGAATTTGGATAAAGGTTTTCTTAGAGTGCTAGAATCCAGGTTTATTCTATGACATAGAATGGAGGAGGATTCAGGACAAATGAATTTTATTTAGATAACTGTGCTTATTTTAGATAGCACAGGGCTGAACTAAGAAATCTGCAACTACTAAATGTGCCAATGGCACTAATCTGAAAAACTTTCAGAAAGATTCAGAAAGATGAGGCTTTAAATAGCTATTAATCATGACAGGTTATTTATCCTGGTAGGTTGCTTACTTTGTCCAAGATCAGAAGCAGCAGGCTGATGACTATCAGAGGGAACTGTCTTGTTCTACATATGGGGGCTTTCTTGTGTTTGAAAAAACATGATGCTGGGTTAGATAGGCCTTTAATTTAATGCATGTGGGATCCTTCTGATAAAGTGGCAGTTGTGATGGGAATTCTGCTAATATCTGGGCATCTTAATGATAAAACAAAAATTATTATTTTCAGAGAAACCATGGGTTTACCCATGTAGCTTAATTTAATCTGATTTTCTTCTTCCTTCTTTCATGTCCAGAAGCTGATAGGGCAGTATACTGAATCTTATTTCAGTGCTGGCAATTTCTTCTATTCTACATGGACAGAAATACATTCATTTAGAAAGCATATGATAGTTATAGCTTATGCAGTTCTAGCCCCTAAAAAAAGGAATGAGCAGGGTGGCTCAAGAGAAATGGTCTCATTCTGCCAGAGTTGCTTTCAACATCTACCACACGTGATAGTCCTCATATTGTACCTAATGGGAGGGAAGTATTTACATAATACACTCGGTACTGAAAAATTTGCAAATGTCTTCGCATATCATTGTTTCTTTTTATAAAGTATTTTTAATTATTTGAGACAATTTGCCTCCCAACACTGGGCATGTTAATTTCTTTCTAAGAATCTACAGGAACCTGAAGCTGATAGAACTTCCCTGAGATGCAAACAAAATGCCTTTGAATTTTGAGGTTATAATTTTATGCTTGAAATATTTGTTGTTATTATGAAATACTCTCAAAATATGAAGGAATGAGAAAATATTGACCATGGCCATTCCCAGAGGCCTCTCAAAGGGAGCAAACGACAAAAGCAGAACTATGCTGAGGCAATGCCAACTCTACCCCATCTACATGTGTCTTGATGTCAATTGCACATATATAAAAGAGACAGAACAATAGTGCAATGCTGAAGTTGGGGGTGCTGTTCTCAGAAAAAAATACTTGGACACCAGCAACAAAATAAAGGAGAAAATCTGATACTAGATTTCTCCCAATGTCAAAGTTTTTCCTCAACAAATTCTTCCTATGATTCCCTTAAATGCCAGCTCCCAAGCCATAGAGTTATTTCCTTAAGAATTCATTAAAAATGTATCAAGGGGATTTTATCATCATTCTTTTCCTCCTTTACCGCAGTTGTTACCATCATCCAACCATATTCAGTCTCGAATAATGGTTGCAGTTCCATTCTTCTCCTTTCTGGTGATCTGGGGAAAATCTGAAATTTTAACATGTTTATTGCTTAAGATCATTTTGAAAGCTTGAGTTAAAACTGAAAAGATATATTGAAAAGTAAAAAAAAAAACATATATGCTCAATTAGTTTGCTTCCAAATACTTTGTAGAAATGTTGTGCTGTCTGGTGAAATAAAATAATATATGGCCTTCAGTGTTTGTAAAGACAAGTCTGAAATGGAGTTAAGTAATTCTTCTTGCCTGAGTCAAATCAGAAGGGGAACTTGGTAATAGTTTGCTAGTTTTGATGGGGGAATAGATCAGAACATCTTCTAAACACCTTTCTCCATTCCTCAGAGACTTCTAGCATTAGATGACCTGGGTAGATTTCTTTCTATCTTTCTCCAGTACCCAACCATTCATACCTCAGAGTAATTTCTTACATTTTATTTATTTTTCATTCTAGATTTGGCATACAAATACAGACAGTGTTGGGATTTGTTTGCTGAGCAGATGGCCAATATCAATAAAATATATTGGTGTGAGTGGAGGACTATTCGCAGGTATTTCAGAGTTTCACCTTTTACTGACCATGGGAAAGGGTAGGCGTGCCACTTGAGATTTAAATGAGGAAGCATGTTGTATGATTTTACCATAATGTATCATATTATCTGTGTCAGAAGAATATGAAGATACTTTTCTTAAATTATATTGTACAGATAGTCCTCATTTAGCAAGTACCTCGATTAGCAGCCATTTGCATTTGTTACAGTGATAAAAATATAACTTTATGACCAATCCTCACATTTATAACCGTCACAGGTCAAAGGAAAGTTGAAGTAAGATTATAAGCACAGTCATAGTGTTACTTGGGAACCATTTCACTTAATGGCCAAATTTTCAATCCAAGTTATAATCATTAAACACAGATTACCTGTAAAGTACTATATTTTCTTATTTCAGATATTTGTACACTATTTTTGTAAAAAAGCTGTTTCAGAATTAATTGGTAGTATTCAGGTAAATTAATCATAATTAAATTTAACTGAAATTAGTGAGATTAGATAGCCATGCAATAATGAAATGTGAGAATGACCTTGGAAGATGAGGAAAAGAAGTGCTGCTTAGGGAACAATCAGATAAAAGAGAGAGGAGCCCAAAACTGAGCAACAGACAGAGAAAGGATCATAGAAAAGATGTGTCCTACCTAATCCAGCAATTAAAAAAAAAGGCAGTGGGAAATGTGTACTTTCAGACTTGGAAGATTGTGTTAATGTAGTCTTACTTTATTGTATTAACACAATAAAGTTAATTCATTTGCTTATGTTTCCTGTCTGGTCTATATGAGAGGCTGACACCTGTCCTGTCCCCTTTTTTTCTCCCGGTGTCACAGATGTTCTTGGTTATCTTTGTTCCATTCAAAATGAGTGGTAAAAAGGAATTTTTCTAAGAATAAGCCAGGCCTATCCAAGTCTGAATCTTTTTTGGTACAAGTTTTGTTTTCATCTTTTGCTTGAGAAAAGATGAAATATTGGCTTCTAAAATAAGCTTAGTGGAAGTTGAAGTACCTACCATGGAGTAGTTTACTTTCTATCTCATGGGGCTGATGTTTACTGCAATATAAATCTATCTTTTTCCTTGGGATGCTCTCCATTGCTCTGGTTGATTCCTTAAGGCCAAAAGAACTAACCATGTTTTCATTATTTTGAAAATTATAATCCTAAAAAGTAACATGGTTATACATGTAGCAAGTAGTAAGTAGTAACTGTAGGTCATGTGACATTGGGTAAAACAAAATAATAACCATATTTTCTGGCAAGTAGATATGTGGAGGCAATTTGAGGGACCCCCGAAAAAGAGGAAATTGTAAGCTGAAATTCTGAATTTTATTGAAATTTGAATATTTTAGAAATATTCTTTAAAACTCACAAAAACTGTCCTGACTCATATTAAAAACATAAGCAATAAATAATGTCATCTTGTTGGACCTGGGATCATGAATTATCTGTGGCAGCAGCTGCCCTATGGAACAGCATCCTTCTGGATATTTGAATAGCCCTAACCCTGTTAGTTTTTGGTAAAGACTGAAGACCTGGCTCCTCTCTCAGATATTTGGACTGGATCTGGGCCAAGAAAATAACTTGAGAAATTGTCTCAGATGGCCGCTCCTTAGACACGGATAAGACTTAGAAAGATTCTGTTATTATACTTGTTAGAATAAAAATAGTACCAATGTTGGAATTTTTAATACGTTGCGCTGTGTTTGTAACTTTTAGCATAGTTGTGAGTTATTGTTTTTAATCTTGGTATGTTTCCCAAAATCACTTTTGTGAGATGGGAGGCTATATAAATTGTTTAAATAAATAAATACATACATTTAAAATATTCTCACCAAGGATCTACACATTTTTTGATCATAAGATATTTGACCACATTAGGTGGGAAAAATATGAAAAAGAAGACATAATATTATCAAAAGTCCCAGTGCATTTTGAGGAAATACATTCCTTCTCAGACCATTCCTCCCTCATTTCCTACATATTTGATCAGTATGTTTTCTTGTTTCTTACCTTAGATAAGAGAACATATATAAGCATGGGGATTGCATGCCTTTATATGTTCACTTATGTGTATGCAACTATTTCTCATTCTCTAATTTTAGAGAGTAGGTCTGAATGGACCAACTTTTTTTCTGGGCATCTTGCTTACACTATTAATTCTGCTTCTACCTTCTTATTTTGTTTCCTTGGCTCTTGGTTATCTTTATAGGCCATACAGTCACCTGAGAAAATGCCTGGAAAGTGAAGCTGATAAACTGGAGCTTGACTACCCCAATTCCATGGCTGAGGAATACATCATCATCACCCACCATAACTACTTCCTCAATTGCACCCTGAAGAATCAACCTCTCCAGGACCCTCCTGAAAATATTTTGCTGGCTCTCATTATAACCCCCATCTGCCTTATTCCTTTCTTGGTTGCTCTTGTTGTATTGAAGAGCAAAGATGGTGAGATGCAATTGTGAATCCTGATCTTTATAAGGTGATGTGATAGGGCCTCCATGGCCTAAGTGGTATAATTACAACACTCAGTTCAATTCTTGGGTATTATGAAATTCACCCTACCCAATCTAAGAACATTATATAGCATGAGCCACTGCACTGGAGACTATTGATTGAAGTGTTGCATAAGGGGACTTTGTACTAAAAGAAGGGTCATAAACAACAAAATCAAACCTCCGTCACCAAGGCAAATGCTGATGTATTTATGTCTCAGTTATAATTTGATTTAATATTACTGCTTCTCTTATTCTGAACGAATTATGGGAACTATAGACTTGGGAGACACCAAGGCAGTGAAAGATTTTAGGGTGGATATAGATAGGCCAAACAAACTATATGTGATTTTTTTTTCCTTTAGAAAGAAAATGGTAAGTGCCCGTATGCCCTTCTTTTTGCATACTGATATCTTTGTCCTTTTACCCAAATTCTCATCCAACACTTACAAATGTCAGATAATAATGCCCAGTGGTGGGATTCAGCCAGTTCACACCAGTTCGGCAGAACTGGTAGCTAATTTTTTGTTGCCTAGGCCCAGAATGGACTTCTGGAAGCAGCATCCATACAGAGAACCAGTTCTTCATATATTTGAATCCCACTACTGGTAATGCCCTATAAAATAGTGTGTTTCCATGTAGGCAAAATATTAGGATAATGTTCCTTGTCTTTGTCCCTATTAAGATTGTCTCTATGGACAAACTCTGACCATCCCACATGTGGATTTCCTTTTGTAAGTAATTTGGACTAACTGGAGATGGAATGACATCTGCCCTTACTGCCGTCTTTTCAGTTACAAGGTTCACTTACTCTACTTACTCTCACCCCAAAATTTGCTCAACATGCAGGAGATAACACCGTGGAATTATATTCAACTGCATTTCTCTCCTTCAGCAAGATGGAATAGAGAAAATACAGAAAGTACCTGCTAAATGGATCAAGAAAATGAATTGAAAGTTGGTCTAAGTTTAGCAAAAAGAATTATGAGGGACATTCATGGCAAAAGTTAATTAAATAGTGAATAGTTAGCAGACATGACAATCTAGAAGAGTTCAACATAGTCACAGTTTGGTCATTGTGTGATATTCTTGTAACTGTTTTTAAAATGCAATGCAATTACATTTTTCTATATTAGTAGCATAGTACTATTGAGACAATCTAGAGCTATTGGCTCTTTCTCTATTAACTTCCCCTTTGCATCCTCTTTTTTTTCCTCTCTAACATTTTAGTAGTAATATTGATTTTAACAAACCCCAACAACATAATACTATTGCTTGATCATGGTGCTCTAACATAAACCCTAGAAGCTACATACTTTTTCATAAAAGCAACTTCCCTTCCATTATGTGTACTGCAAAGGAACTCATTTAGATCAGTTCAAAAATTATGTTCAATATTTTGGGGGATTGAAGATGTAAGGAGCACTAAAATTTCTACAGTTCTTCAATGCTTCTTACCTTTCACCTTGATAACCTCTGTAATGCCTCCTTTTTTGAGGGATTCTCAAGTTGAAATATCCTGCCCCCCCAAATGAGTGACATGCAAAAATTACTGAAGCAGAACAACAGATCAGCAAGTGGATAAACTGGACAGTTTTACTAGATAGTCATTCATTTATCATAATTGTTTTCCTGGGATACATATATTTGCCTTCATTCATGTTTTCTTAGAAGTGAACATCTGATTATTCTTTTCCTGTAGTTTTTTTCTTTCAGTGTTCATAATAATATGTCTGATAAAAAAAAAAGAGAACTGAAAGGAAATCAGTAATTAAAATAGACTTTAATGGCAGAAAATGTTTCCTTGTCATGATGCAGATACCCTATAACTGAAGTTGCAGAAAAATCACTAATTTTCAGTTGTGTCATTTTGCATATAGTCAGGAGTTGCTAATAAGTATCCTTTCTGTGTAATTCCTGTCATAAAGAATAATTTCCTTTTTTGTGCTTCAAATGGCAATAAAAATTATGATATTCTGTTGAAGTCCCTTTGTTCTAAACACTACTTTCTTATTTTAATTTTATTATGATAATGTTTTCATTTTAGTCTAATTTTGTTCTCTTTCATTTTGTATATTATCTCAAACATCTGAGGGACAGTGCAGTGCTTTATTAATATTTCAGATAAAATAAACATGAAACATACTAAGTAGAGCTACTGTTTGAATGTCATTTCCACTAATGTTTTAATAAAAAAAAGAAAGGCAAAATTTTCAGGCCACCCATCCCACAACAGTGATTCTGGACAGTGTACAATGTTTAAAACCCAACAATTAAACCAATAATCTATGACACTCTGGATAAATGACCCTTTCCAACTATATAAATAAAAGGGCTTGTCCTATCCCCTGGTACCAAATGCCTTGGGGAAAGGCCAATTTTGTTAGGGATATCTAAATTTCTGGGGGAAGCTTTTGCACTAAGACGTTGTTTAATAGAAGGGACACAAATCATGCCCTCCCCCTTAAGAGTCTGCCCTCTTTGCTAGATCTGGTGGGTTGAGCAGAAGCAATAAGAAAAAGGCAAACTTGCAGATGTGCAACTCACAGAGCAGCAATGTTACATGGGTTAGTGTGAGATGCCAAAAACTGCCTGCGCAGAAATTAACATGTGCATTAAATTACGACTATAAGCAACCAGTAACTAGTGCACGTTTCAATACATGTATCATATAATTTCTGTATCTTGTACCAATCTAGAGGCTAAATGCCAAATTTTGTACCACTTGCAACTGCTAAATGCTTTTCAAGGAAGTTCCACATAATGCACATTGCACTTAATTCAGGGCATAACTAAGATATTGATAATATCTGACTAAATCTGGGGGGGTCAAGGATCTAATTACCAAGATAGATTCAAATGTCATTCTTTGCATAGCTGCGTTGTGTAGCCAATGACTGCTGAGGTCATGAGATGGTGAGAAAGTGAACCTATTTTTCCAAGGAAAAATGCAGAAAACCCCATTCAGAACAGGTTAAACTCCAATTACCAATTCTATTTTCCTATATATTGTAATAGCTATTCTAATTTCAGTTTGGTCTCTTTCATTCAGCCCAATATCAAACTTAGGTAATATTCAGGAACACTAAAGTTAGATAGCAAAAAGCAGCAGAGCTGGGTAATACAAGCATACTGATGGTAACCCAGACCAAAGCTCTAAATAGTCTACATAGTTTAATATAGATGCTGAACAGTATAGAGTATAAGGTGTAAATAAGACATTATAAATCAAATAGTCCCCCAGTACTAACTTACAAACGTATTGTAATAGGAACCACAATCTCCTGATGCCCAGTCCTACCAGATAAACCAAAAATATTCCATAATCAATAGGATAGAGCATTTCCCACAGGCTAAACCTTGCTTATGAACCATTCATATCTGTTTTAGATAGCTCAGTTATGCTTAGTCCTCAGATGCAACTGTCTTACTCACCTTGATACCTAATCTTTATTCAGGAATTAGTTTACTTAACAGAAGGTTCCCAGACATACTGTAGCTCAGCAAGATTTATTATTACTATTATTATCAATCATCGCACAGTCAGCCAGATGTTCAGACTGGATTTGGCATTTTGTCTACCTATCGAGTCCTTACCCAGGACCTGGGATAGGCAGAAGTAGATGTTTGATGGTATTACAGGTATCGTCGCAGGATGGAAGCAGTTCCTAATAAGGCCGCCTTTTGTAATTGACTAATAGCAAATTTGTCAATGCCAATGGTGTTCAAGTGGTGCTCCAGTTGTTTTGGGATTGCACCCAAGGAGCCTATGACTATTGGTACTACCCTTGCTTGCTTTTGCCACAGTCTTTCTATTTCTATTTGTAGGTCTTTGTATTTTGTTATCTTCTCCAGTTCTTTCTCTTCTATTCTGCTGTCTCCAGGCACTGCCACGTCCACTATCCAGACTTTTTTGTCTTTCTTATCGACAATTGTTAAGTCTGGGGTGTTATGTTGCAGGTGCTTGTCTGTTTGAATTCTGAAGTCCCAGAGCAGTTTAATTTTATCATTTTCTATGACTTTCTCTATTTTATGATCCCACCAGTTTTTGCTTACAGGCAAATGATATTTTTTGCAGATCTTCCAATGCACCATTGTTGCTACTTTGTCATGCCGCTGCTTGTAATCAGTCTGTGCAATCTTCTTGCAACAGCTTACCAAGTGGTCCACTGTTTCTTCAGCTTCTTTGCATAGGCGGCACTTACTGTCTGTTGCTGTCTTCTCAATTTTGACTTTGTATGCATTTGTCCTTAAAGCTTGGTCTTGTGCAGCCAGAATTAATCCCTCGGTCTCTTTCTTCAATTTTCCTGCTCTTAGCCATTGCCAGGTTTTATTATTATCTGCTTTCCCAGCTATTTTTTTCATGTATTGGCCATGTAGTGCTTTGTCTTCCCATGCCTCTATTCTGTTCTTCATTTGGTCTTTCTTGTAGGCCAGTTTGGTCTCTCCAGTAGTTAGTAAGCCTTCCTGATATACTAATTTCAGTGCATCTTCATCATTGTTCTTCAGATATTCTTCCAAAGCCATTTTTTCTTCTTCAACCATCTGATGTACTTGTAGCATTCCACGCCCACCTATTTGCCTTGGTAGATAAAGTCTATCAATGTCACTGCGTGGATGAAGGGCATGATTCATTGTCATTATTTTTCTGGTCTGCCTATCCATTGCTTTTAGTTCTGCTTGAGTCCAGTCCACTATTCCAGCTGTGTACCTAATGACTGGGATTGCCCAGGTGTTGATTGCCTTTATGGTATTTCCTCCATTGAGTTTGGACTTTAAGATCTTCTTCACTCTCTTGATGTATTCACCTCTAATCTTTTTCTTGACTTCAGTGTGCTTGATGTTGTCAGCTTGAAGGATACCCAAGTATTTGTAGTACTCTTCCTCATCCAGACTCTTAATGTTATTTTCGTGGGGCATCTTGATTCCTTCAGTTTTCACTATTTTTCCTTGTTTGATAGTAAGTGTGGCACATTTGTCCAAGCCAAACTCCATTACAATATCTTGGCTATATATACGGACAGTGTTGAGCAGCGATTCTATTTCAGATGATGTTTTTCCATACAGCTTCAGATCATCCATATAAAGGAGGTGGGATAGTCTGGCAGATGTTTTTGATGTTTGATAGCCATGTCCTGAGTTATTCAGTATTGTTGACAGAGGAAACAGTGCAATAACAAATAGTAATGGTGATAATGAATCTCCTTGAAATATTCCTCTCTTGATATTAACCTCTCCCAGCTCTCACCATTGATCTGCAACTGTGTCTTCCATTGTGCCATCGATCTTTGCACAAATTTTCTGATGTTTCTACTTACTCCTGTTATTTCTAGGCACTTGATTATCCAATCATGTGGCAGAGAGTCAAATGCCTTTTTGTAGTCAATCCATGCCACATTCAGGTTGGTCTTCCTTCTCTTGCAGTTTTCCAAGATCATTTTGTCTATTAGGAGTTGATCTTTTGTTCCTCTGCTATTGGGGCGGTTTCCTTTCTGCTCAGGTGGAAAGAGATTGTTTTCAACTAGATGCTGTTGTACTGCATCAGCTACCACACCAGTTAGTAATTTGAAAGTTGTTGGTAAGCAGGTAATTGGCCTGTAGTTACCTGGTGTTGCCCCTTTTGCTGGATTTTTCATTATTAGGTAGGTTTTCCCAGTTGTTAGCCACTTTTCAATTTCTCCTCCTTGTAGTATATTGTTGAACTGCTTGGCAATGAGTGGGTGTATAACAGTTAGATGTTTCAACCAAAACCCATGCAGTTCATCTTCACCTGGTGCTGACCAATTTTTGATTTTCTTTGCTCTTTTTTCTACCATTTTTGTTGTTATTACTAGTTCTTTCATTTCAACTTCTGTTTTATTTGCATCCACCTCTTTTAACCAAGCCGCATCCTTGTTGTATTTCTTTGGGTTATCCCATATCTGCTTCCAGAACTGCACTGTTTCTTCCTTGTCAGGTACTGACTGATTCCTTGCAGTTTCTCCATTGATGGATTGGTAGAAACGTTTCTGATTGGATTGAAATTGGAGGTTCTGCCTATAGTTTGCAATTCGAGCTTCATATCTACTGATTTTCCTGGCTATAGCTGTTATTTGTTGCTTTATTATTTCCAGTGCTTCCTTGATCTTCCTTGTTTCTAAGTGGTATTTCTTGATTAGGTATTCTTTGGTCTTCTTGTTCTTCAGCTTCTTTTCTTTCATCTGTTCTAGCTTGCTTGCATGTGATCTTAACTTGCTGATCTTATTTTCTAGTCTAACCTTCCATTTTTCTGGTGCACTGTTTGTTTGTTTTTCTTTTTTGTTGATTTTGCATCCCAGGTATTCTGTTATAACTGCAGCTGTGCTGTACATTAGTTGGTTTGTTTCTTGCAGTGAATTGGTGCTTATACTTGCTATTGCAGTATTTGCATCTTTTAATGCTTGTGCTAGCTGTTTCTTTGGAACAAGCTTCAATGCAGGCAGCCTTATTCTGTTGTTTTTGTGCTGTTCTAGATGCTCAGTTATTCTTTGTTTCAATTCTTTTATTTCTTTAGTTAGAGGGTTTTGTTCTTCCTGAGGAAGAGGTGCCTGGTTTCCAAATGAGAACAGTTGTATATCTCTGCTGGATTCCTTCACTGCCAACTCCCCCTGGTTTGCCTCTACATTCTGAATTACTTCTGGTAAGGCTTTGATTTCTTTGCCCTGGGTAAACCTTTGCAGTTCGTCCAATTCTGTTTCTGTGAATACTTTATTTCGTGTTATAAATCGGCGTTGATCTGCTAGTCTCTGTTCTGTTATTTCTGATTCTGGATGTTGTTCTTTCCAGAATTGGTGCATTCGTTTTAGATATCCTCGCCTTGTTGGACTTGATCTGTAGTAACAGATCATTATTTCTTTGTTTTCCATCACTGTGTATCTGCGACGGGTAAACACCTTTTCTTCCAGTAGTTCTGCAGCTGCTGGCCCTGGTTGCTCAGCCAACAGTCCTGAGTCCTGTAACCCATTT